GTGAAAATTTCTTAACCTTTAGAAAATGACATATTTCAATGCAAAATATAACAATTTACAATTACAATTTATTCCAATTGTATTCCAGGTACTCTATATTTATTACTTGCCTAAGGAAATCTTGCTTCCTTCCTTTTAGCAGCTATCTTTGACATTGCAGAATTTGTATCTTACTTATTTATTTTCACAAAAAAATCTATGTGTGTTTTTTTGTTCATTTGTTTGTGGGTTTTTTAGTTTATTTGTTTGTTTAGTTTTGGGGTTTTTTTACTTTTATATGATTGAAAGATATACATATACGTATGAAAGTGTACTGCATGTATACCTGCATCATGCTCAAAAAAATTAGGGTTTAGAATTGATCTGGAGTATTAGTCAGCTAGGAGCAAGGTTATAGATGAATTTTGATGAGTTGTTTTATCAGTGAATTCCACTCTAAAATTGATGGATTTTTTTTCATTTTTGTCCAGCTTTTACTAACTATCATTTTGTGTGCTTGGTTTTTATTATTTTTCCCCTGAGAGAATTAATTTTTAGTATGGAATAATATTCTGTTAAACCAGGGATTTTTTACTGTGTAGGTACTCGCCATGATCTGAGAAAGACATCTGGACACCCAGTGCAGAGCCCTTATATCTAGAAATAGAGCTAATTCAACTACATTATAGATACAACCCTGTAGGGATTTTTAGGAGCATTGGGTAAAAAGAAGTGAGGTAATGTTGGATGTATTGGAGGACAATGAGGATGAGAGTAGGACAGGTGGTCATGCAGACTTGTATTAGAATGCTTTCTGTGCTTTGAAAAATGGACGGTGCCCTTTCCTTAAAGAATTAATCTTTATGGATATATCTGTGTCTGTTCATGTGGGATGCAGAGAAGCCAGCACAATGTAAATGTTGAATAAATCTATGTACAGGGTAAGCTGCGGTGATTTTTTTTTTAAATAGTTAATTGAATGATGTTTTCTGGATTTTCAATTAGTGTCCCTTTTCAGATACAAATAGTGTATTGAGGGGAGTTAGAATAAACCAACAAACAGCATTGATACTACTGGAAAAAGTCCACATATAAATCTGTAACTTGTCTCCATGAGCATTCCTGTCCTCATTGCCTTTCAGTTTAATCCTCTAGTTTTCTCAGGGATGTGCTTTCTGGAAATACGTTTTGGTTGTTTAAATTATTAATTTCATTAAAATTTATCATTTTCTGTCGTCACCTCTAGGAAAATAAAGACTGTAATGTGAAACATAATTGTCTCATTTTGCAATTTGTGTTATGATAGTTGAGCACAACTAGAGCGGATTTAAATATTCCCCTGAGGAGTATGACTAAATATTGCACACTAATTGAAGTTCTTTGTGTGCAGATAAATAAACAGATAAACGAATTCCCCAAATAAACAATATTTATGTGCAAATAAATAGATAATGCCACAAAAATTTGTTATTAATATGCCACGTGAACAAAAATACAGTGTTTAAAAGAATACCTTTTAAGCATTGAGTCGGGTGGTGTGAACTACTATTAGCCTGGGTGAATAGTCAGTTGTACACTTATGTCTGCCTACCAAAATATTTAAGTGCTCCCTGCTATGTTGGGAACAGGTAAAGTCTTTCCCTTACTAAAAGAAAAAGTGAGGATAAGAATACTTAGATATGAGAGCATCTTTTGTCGCTGGGTAAAATGTTCTCCCTCCATACTCATTCAAGAAATTCAATATTTACAGGCTTTAGGGCAAACTACTCTTATATGTGCCAAGCAATAGAGGGTTGGGCTCCTTAACCTTGCACAAAGCATATCCCCTGAAACAAGCAGAACACACCATCTGCATTAAGTAAATATTTACCCTATAGTGCAGTAGCAACATCATGGGATCATAGAAACTAAAAAGTGGGCATTTGATACAGAATTTTTCAAGGAGTATTTGCCTGGCCCAACCAGCTGATAAGCTCTACTTCATTCACGCATGGTATAAATGGTAATAACTTAGTGCTGGGTAATGATCCAAGAACAAAACTGGAAATTTGGGATGCATTTGTTTGGGGGGGGGGACCCTCTAGGACCAAATTAAATAATTTGCTCAGTTTCACAGTGTAAAGAAATTTTTTGTGTCATTTGCAGGAAGGAAACACATTACTTTTAAACAAATAAGTAGATTAATAGATTTTAATTGTAAGATCAGTGAGAAATCTGTTTTCCCTTTTGACTACAAGTCTTAGAACTACTTTTTGGATATATGTTGCTATTCTGTTGGGTGTAAAAGTAAGAACAAACTTCACATGTACTTTTTTTTCCTTTATTTTGGCTTTCTATTACTTTATTTTTTTTTCTTTTTCCCTGTATTTATCTCAGTTGGGACACAGGTGACCTTTCTGCATGTGACATTTAAGATTTCACGTGTTACTAAGCCAGGACTGTAAGTTTTCTGGAAACAAGCCTGCAGGGCCTTCCAGTGCCAGGCAAGAGGAAGGGATGCACATTCCCCCTCTGGGGAGTCCATAGCAAGGCCCGTGCAGGATGGCTGTGACCTGCTCTCCTCTGCAGTCAGGCACCCAGTCTTGCTTTCCCTGCTCCTGGACCTGCTTAAGTGCCCTGGGATGCTGCCTGTGGCTGTACCACCCTGTGCACTGGCTTGGGAATGCCCAGAGTTGCCTTTAGTGTTTAAAGCAGCAGCTCTAAAACACAGACATAAGCCTTTTGTTCCCAGCGCTTTCAACAGGAACCCTTTTTTCCCCGTGCTTTTACATTTCTAGAAAGGACCCCAATTTCTAAAAGGAATGGATTGTTTGCTTAAATAAATATCCATCAGCTGAAAAAAATTACAGGAGCTTTGTTCCCCTTAGCATTATGTGGTGAACTGAGGCATTGAAGGATTTAGCTACTTTCAGCTGGTTACACAGAAAAAGGTGGCACTTTCAGGGTTAGATTTAGCCAAATTTAGGTTCTGAAATTCCCTCCAGAGACTCCCATTTTTCTTTGGCTGTATAGTGACATGGCTTTTACATTCAGGACTCACTTGGTACCTACAGCTAAGCGGGAAGAACCTGGGTTAATGTACCTATCATGACTGATCTCTTTTATTACCTTACTTCTGGAAAACCCATGGAGGAATCAGTTCTGATATGCTACAGATAGGCTTAAAAGTCTCAGGTGAAGCATTTTGACAGGGGTTATGAGATATCTTTGAAAGGCTGTGTATCACTTGGAGAGGACACAAAATGTGTTTGGTGTGAGCTGAACTGAAGGTTTGGATGATTTGTGATTCCTTCTTTTTTTTACTGTTTCCAGCCACTCGGTCTGAGTGTGCATGCCAAGGGATGCAGCCTAGGAGGTTATGAGCTAAAGCTGTGCCATAAAACTATCTCTCCCTCAGACTGCAACTTAGACATGGGGGGTGGTTTTAACACCCCCCAGCCCCACAGAAGAGAAATCCAAGGCCTGGAGGAATCTGTAGAGCTTGTGGATCTGCTTCAGTATCTTGCTGCAAGGCTACAAGTGCTGCCCAGCATTTTCTATTAAGCTTCAAAATCTTTTCTTTTATAAGAATATATTTATTTTCTTATTTACTGTTTTCATGCCACACCAGTTGGTCTGTCATTAATGCAATGAATTTCACCTTCTGCAAAGTTAAAAATTCACGCTCCTAAAAAATGATGGGAAACTGGCAAAGAAGGACTAACCTGAGCCAAAGCTACAGTACTAGTCAACCGTAACAAGTAATTATAATAACCCTATGGTCATTTCACTCACAGCTTGACAGAGAAAATGGCAATAAAACAAAACAATTTTTTCTTGAATTTTAAATGTCTGGGGCCAGGTTCACTTCTGCTGATGACACCTCTCAAGGTGTGGTCCCTGCTGACTAAGTGCAGCAACAGGAATAATTTGCAGTCCCCTGCCCTGCAGGGGGCTGAGACAGCCCTGTACAAGCTGGGCACTGTGCAGCTGGGACAGCCCCCCTGTGCATGAGATGGGCTGATGTGAATTCCAGACGCTGCTGGTGGCTGTGGTGAGGAGCTGGGATGTAAAGCAGGTGCTTGGGGGATGAGGGCAGACAGCAAAGCCACTGTCTGTGTTTCCTCTCAGTGAACTCTTGCCAGGAGGAAAACATCACAAGCTGCACCTTTGATATGATTTCAGGATCTGCTAAGCTGGTGATTTTCAAACTATATATCCTGGGGTAAAAAAAGAGGTTTTGGTTTTGTGTGTTTCTTCAAATACAAAATATGTGAAGCATGTAGTTGAGTTGGCTTCAGTCACCATTGAAGAGTACCATTCACGCAGGCTCTGTCCCAGGATGGATTAGGAGGCTGAGGCACGTGAAGGTCTACAAAGAAACTTTAGACAGTGCAAAGCCTGGAATGAAGAGCAGCCTGTCCTTTAGATGTCCTTGTATCTTATCCCAATTTATTCTGTGTGCAGAAACTGGTGTTCCTAAATGTGTCAAATCCTTCCATGAAGTTTCTCTTATTTTTTGTTTCCTATTACAGACAACCTCAAAAGGCTTCCTCAAGTCATTATCAGGATTAGTCTGTGGAAATGATCTACTGTTCTTATGGGAAAAATGCTTACTTGTAGCTTTGTTCAAGGTGTAAGGGCCATATTTCCTGAAGACTGTTATATTTTCCAATTGTTATTTTGTCCTGAGGATATAGTGAGGTTCTAGTCTGTTAAACAAGAATTCTTTCTATATAAATTTGGTTTCAAGGCTCTTGTTTTTTTCTATTTAGAAACCTATTGAGGAAAACCCTTTTCTATGCAGAATTTTAGTATTGCCAAGATAGATGGTACTGTGTTAGGCTGTTCTCTTTTGTTTCAGATGATGTATAAAAAAATAGCATTTTTGTTATTAAGCACAAAATGGTAACACTTAGCCTAGACTAAGCATGTGCCTCTGTAAATGTTTTTCTCCTATTGTCTTTTTTTAAAAAACATTTATCCAATAATAAAAGGAGGATATAAAATGCCTGGACAAATACATGTTTCTCCATTCACAGGAAATCACTGATAATGAGATATTAGAGTTGGTACATAGTGCTCTGGGGAGGATGACAGTGATCCGGCAAATTTTCCCTCTCTCAAGGGACAACAACCAGAGGTGCATGAGGAACAATCACCGAGTATCGTCCCTGCTGTGCGACCCGCAGGAAGGCTACCTTCAGATGCTGCAGGTCAGTAGCTGTACCCAGCAGAAAAGCCCATCTTAGGAATTTGACATGGGATAGTTTTCTGTGACTGTATTAACTCGGAGGAAAGATAAAATGAGTACATTTGAGATAAATCTGAGGATGTAACCTGTGGTCAGCTTTTCCGGACTTAATTATTTATTTCCCGGGGACTGAGTGCTTTAGGTGTGATGTTATGTCCATGAAGTACCAGCAAGTGGTTGCACTAACTCAGAGCTGACTTTTTTCATATCTCATTCTCTTAAGAATATTTTCTATTTGAAAAATATCGTGCTGTCATAGTCTTGTGGTATTACTCCTTGATTATTATGTTTATGCTTATTAGACATCTGTCGTGAAAGAGTTAATCTGGGAGGATAACAGAACTCTGATAGGTATTGAGCTGTGGAGCATTTCATATTTAGTTAAATGGACTGAATCCAGCTGATGTATTCAATCTGTCCCGTCTCAATAGTCTCAGAAGTCTCCAGCAGTTGATAATTGACTGAGCATGTGAAATATGCACTAGTAGTTCAAGTTCCAGATTTTGGTAACAGATTTGACTCTGATGTAAGCAGCATCTTGAAATTTCTTGGCAATTTATCCCAGATATCAGAATTTTTCTTGTTATAATTTAAATATAATTCAAAGTGCTATTTCCAAGGCTAGTACAATAATTTAGAAACAAAGGCCTTGACTTTCAATGGGGACTCCATGGGTTTTGGTTTACTTTAGACACAATTAAGGATCTTGTTTGTGTCACTGTTGAAGGTGTTGGATAAAATTATAAACTTGATTGAAAATTTAGTCTTAAACTGAGATGAATTGAGTGAGGACACATTGGTTGACCCTGTGGTTTGACGGGTGTGGGTATTGTGTGGTAGAGTGAGCCTAGAAGGAGCTTGATTAGGCTGTGGGTAGGGGGCTGTTGGCAGTCTGGGCTGCTGCAGCCTGGTCAGGAAGGTGGTGAGGGGTCCTTAAAGAGGGAACTCATGTCCTGGCTTGGAAGAGCTTCTGAAGAGCAAGGTATGAGGCTTATGGAAAACCATGAGAGGCAGGACACTGTCAGGAAGCAAAGTGGGTCAAGATTTCCCAAGAAACATGGATAGGGATGTTCATTTTACTTACTTGTGTCCTACTAAAAAATTGTAGCTGCAGAGGCTGAAATCCTTTAAGGGAGGGATATGGACCTTTCCTCCTTGAAGAGAACCTTGCTGGCTTAGGTTCTGTCCTAGTGGTGGCAAAGGTTGGGAAATGCCAATCACACATCCTGTAGTTCTGAGCACTGGTGTATTCTTTCTGCACAAGTGAAAGTCTGTGCCTGTCTTGGCTCAGAAAGAAGACATTTTTGATCTTTGTTAGTAACTCTGAGGTATGCTGTAATGAGAACAAGGGCTGCTCATTTCAGAGGATCAAAGCAATTTCCAGTATGATGAAAAAATTATCTATGCTGCACCAACAAATCACTCATTGGGGAACAATCTTCCATTACAGCAGGATTTTGACTATTACTGCCTATGCTGGTTTATGCATAATCTAATTCAGAGACTCATCTGAAAGGCTCTGACAGGCCTCTGAGCAAGTTCTTATTTGCTAATGTATTAGCTGGTTTGCTAGCACAAACAGCCTTATGTCCTGTTACAAAATTTCTTTGATAAAAACCCTTTTAAAAGGACCCTCTTCCTGCTGATTCCCAAATGTGGGTTTTGAGAAGCAAAACATTCTCTGTTTCTGTCTTCCAGAAATATTTATACCACCTTAGAAACTGTCTTTAAGAGAATGGTATGGTAATGTTATGCTTTGCCCATTAACTTCTCTATGAACCTCGAAGAAAGAGATGCAAAGAAGTGGAGAGGTAAAACTTTTGCCTTTTGGAAGCTGAGTCCATAGCATTCACGTCCAGTCTCACTGGCATGAAAGATGAAGGGCACATGTGAGAACTCTCAAATTAGCTGCCCCCAGTATATCTTGTGCTATCTTGAAGTGTCTACAGATTGAATACAGGATGATTTTATGCTGTGCAGTTGTACCTGAAGTGCTCCATAGCTGCATTTTTTTCATAGGCTTTGCCAAAACATCTTACGTAACACCTTGTGGACGTGCGGCTCATATTAATTTCTGGGTATGACTGACATGTTATTAATGGTCCTGTAATTCAGGTACTTCCAATTTTCTGTTTCCTTTCTTCTTGCTTAAAAAATAGTTTTGACCTTTTGCTGTACAGAAGTACATCACTAAATTACCCCTGTTGCCAGAGGCTGCAGTAGCTCCAAGCTCCATGTCAGGCTGCATGAATCCACCAGAGGCAGTGACCGCCTGCCAGCTCTGAGTCTTTGTGTTGCTTTGAAGTAGTTTTATTAACACCACAGTTTGGAAATCCCTGGCTCATTCTCCCTTGGGCAGTCTCATATCAATAATTGTTTGTTGTCAAGGTAACTTACCAGCTATTGTTGGTTAATTATTTATTTAATGACTTTGAAGAAGAATAAGCTAATCTCTGTCAGCCTCTAGCTGTAATATTTTTATAGGGGAGAATTTAGCATTTTTAACAAGCTAGTAAAGAAAGAAACATTTATGTCATAGATTATTAACTTTGTTCTGGCTAAATTAATGAAAATCTTTTTGGAATGATTTTGTTCTCTGTGTCTTTAGTACCATATCCTGGAAAGTTGTTTTTCAGTGGGTGATCATCCTGGTTTGGCATTCTGACAAGGCGTTTAAAGATCAGGCTGTTCTGCAAGCTCATCCAAAAACTCATCTATTCTGAATGCTTTGTGGAAATCCAATCTTATTCCATCAACCCACTTGTCAAAATTTTGCTCATGCCCTTATTTCTTGCACATATAACATACTCAGCTGGGTTTCTTCTTGGACTGGAGAAAAAGCTTTATAGAGTTTCCTGTCTTGGTCATTTTATTTGACTTTGGAAGACTACATTTCTCTCTTCCTTATTCTTCATATAGGATTTTTTCTGTCCATCTCTCTTACTCTTTGTAAATGGAAAAGACACAGTTTAGAAGTTGCTGTCTTCCATTGACCACGAGTATCCTGTGGTTTGGGCCATCAGTGTTGTCAGTATTGCCTCATCTGGAGAGAGAATACTGAAGCGCTTCAGGATTCATAGTTAAATCTAGTTAGTCCTGGATAGACTTAGTATGTATCCGTGTACAGCATTTGAATGGTGTACAGTGGTATAACTGCTATAAACTATTTAGTTTATTTCAGACATGTTCTTATGGAGTCAGCTGGAAGAAATTTTGCTGTATAACCTGCTGCTTTCCAAAATCTTTCCCTTTAAATAAATGTTAGTTTTGACACCTCTCTACAAACTTGGGTTTTTGATGAAGATACTTTTTTTAATTTCATGATGTGTTCATAAGCTCAGAATCAGTTCTCTCCTGTTTTTTGTTTTTGGAGAAAGATTTCTCTTTAGAAATGTAATTCCCATTAGTTTGGGTTTTTTACCAAGTTTGTCATTTACACAGTTAATGAGTTTAATCTATGCGAGATTCTAAACATATTAAAATGTATTACAGGGACACAGTGTATCTGAACTCATTTAGAATAGTCCAAAATATATAGTAAGATTAAAAAGGCAAAAAGAAAACCCCAGCATACTGTGTCACAAAATTAATGAGGTTATTGCTGACAGGACTGAGGGTCCAATATCCCTGCTGAAGAACTATTCCAGGCATTGCTTTGACATATTTAAAGAGAAGATATTGTGAAGTGTGGGAGGTTATTCATTGAAAAAGCTACTCTTCTCCCTGTGTAAAAATTTCATTCTTGAAAGACATGTCCATCAGATATCTTTGCAGGCATTTCTTAGCAGTTGTTCCTACAGAGCTGTGTTTTTATTCCTGAATTGTCTTCTTTTCAGGAGTCACTGCGATTTAACTTCTGTAAGTGAAGTTATGGTTTGAAAATGTGTTTGGCTGCCTAAATTTAAGGGCCTGATCCCACAGTTTTTCCAACTAAATGGCCTTATTCTCATTTGACCTCTTTAGACTGCTGTTATTACACAGCTGTGGGTGGTATTGGAGGCAGTAAATACTGATTGACCCCTATTAAAGCATTCAGTTGCTCCAATGAAGGATCAGTGAGCCACATTTTTCTTTTTCTTTCATTAAAAACGTACATTTACATGTTGCTTTACTAAAATTTAATTTGGATTTTTCGCCAGATATTCGGTCATAGGGAAATTGTTTAGGAGTACCACATGAATGAAAAATATCCTTGAACTGACTTTACTGCCCATTGCACAAGATAATCTCTCCCTGAAGCCCAATGACATGTGGTTTATACAAAGTGTGTTAGCAGAAGAATTTGTTAAAAAAAAACAAAGCAGTGTGGGTTTCCTGTGGCCATGAGGAATTTTGTGAACACTCTGGAGGCTGAAACCCCAGGTGAGCTTTTCTGCTCTGCTCAGACTGCCTCTCCTGACTGCTGGATTTCTCTATTTGCATAATTATTTCATTGAATTTTTGTTCAGTGCTCTATCAGGGAGCAGACAACAGTGGCTAGAAGAAAGGGTTAGTACCTCCATTTTTCATTTGTTATTGCCTCTGAAACCTAATTTGCACCCATATTTATTTATAAATGAGGTCGAATAAAAGTATAATCTTATATTCTCTTTTGCAATTCCAACATTACCTCTTGTCCTCCTGTCTGTCTCTTAGTTGTGTTCAGTTGTTTTCTTCGCTAAATGTCTCCTACCAGACTTTCCCTGGATGATTAGTGTTAGCTGTGCCAAATTCTTGAGATGTTTAATGAGTGAAGCCAATGCCTCCAGCTAACAAACTTGAGCTTTACAGGGTAACCCAGGCCTCGTATTATTGTTAACATGTTGTTATAAAACATACTGGGGAAGAAAACACTCATAATTATGTTAATTACTCATAATGAACAGCTGAAGGACAGTGAACATTCAGAGAATAGAAACTGTGGGTAGGGAAAAGTGTTGTGAAATGTATAACTCAGTAAAAACTGGATAAAATGAAAAAGCA